TTCATCTTTGTTTTACTAATTTTTATGCTGCTTTCTTTGTGGCTTAAAGAAATGAACCCTAGCCAGTTGTGGTGGCACACACCTGTAGTCCCAGCTATTCCAGAGGCTGAGGTGGGAGTATCGCTTGAGGCTTGAGTTTGAGTCTGCAGTGAGCTATGATCACACCGTCGCACTCCAGCCTGGGTACACAGTGAGACTCTCTCTCTACAAATAATAAGTGAATTAACTTTTTAAAAAGATGCTAACCCTTTGTCATATGTTTTGTGAATTTATTGTCCTAGTTGTTGATATTTTGGCTTATGGGATATTATTTTTCATTCAGAAGCTTTTCATTTTCATGTCACAAATGAACAGACTCATCGAGATTATGACCATATTAATTCATGCTCTATTCTAAAATTACTCAGGTTTTATTTTAGATTAACATCTTTGATTAAGCTAGAATTCATTTTGGTATGGGTAGGCATTCAGCTTAGTTTTATCCCTAATGTCTAGCTGGCTGTTTATTTACCTAGCACCCTTGACTGAATAATCCAATTTTTCTTCATCAATTCAAAGTGCTACCTGTGTGTTTCAGTATTTCTTGAGTTTGTTTTCTGGCCTTTTTCTTCTCTGCTGCAGTTTTAATTACCAAAGCCTCACATCCTTTAATCTCTGGTAGCTACACCCTCACATTACCCTTTCTTCCCTTCATATTTTTCTAACTATTCTCATATGTATATTTTCCCATATTAAGTTTAGCATCCTTTTTTGTTACACTTCTGTAAACATCATGTTGGTAATGTAAGTGATATTTTTAAACACTGAGGTGTATGTACAAGAACTTTTACTGCTGGGGTCTTTCTACCTCTGCTTAGGTCCCCTTTGTTTTCCGTGTTTTTTCTTGTCTAGTTGAGAGGCTGGGGAGGATTTACCAGTGTTTGGGGTAGAACAGAGTTTGTCCAGAGAAACCAACTACATCATGCCACCTAGAGGTGGGCATTAGTTTGTCATGGAGGGAGGCCATAGGACACTTTCATGGTCTCAGGGACTCACTGGCCTCTCATAGGTCAGCGCCTCTTGAGCTAGTTCTAGAGCAGGTGTGCTGACCTGGATCTCAAAGGTGCAGAGCTTGGCCTGCCTTCTGCTTCTCCTCACTGCTCTCCTTGGCTGCCTCTGCCACAGGTCTCCTCTTTCTTCCTCCTCAAGTTCTGCCCCCTGCATGGGTTGGAGTTAGGGGCGGTCCGAGAGCAGCCTCATGAGAGTAGCCAAGACAGAGAAGAAGCCTGTCCTCCTGGCACATCCACTTGGCACCAGAAGGATGCGCTGGCCAGGAGGTTTTGGCTGGCCACACCTGCTCCAGCCTTGCCCTGCTGGTAGTTGGAGGCAGGGGGCCAGTACCCCAGGCCTGCCCACGACTCGAAAGGCTAGTGCCCTAGTCAGCTTCTTCTTAAACTTCTCCCCAACTTTTATAAACCTGGACTCAGGGCAACTCTGGTAAGGGTGCTGTCTGGAACGGGCAGCCAGTTTGTTTCTATTTTGAGGTGAAGGTAGAAATGACCTCCCTCTCAAGAGATCTTCAGGCCCTTCTCAGCAGGAACAGATGCCAGTTTCTGCGTCTTTGAAGAAGCATTTTATACTCTTAGTGTTTACTAAAGAATAATGAGGCATTTTTAAGTATTAGGAGTAGAATAGAGTTTAAAGAAAACCAAAAAATCCCAGGCCTCTGTGTTCCTGGGACACAGAAGGAGGGGAGATTGAGAGTCATGACTTGCCTAAGAATGCTTATCATGTCTGTGGTGCTTGGAGTCTGTGGCCCAGGTGATTTGAGGCTCGGGGACGCATCGTGGGCAGAGAGGACCTTTCAGCAGCATTGTGAATGAGTGGGTTTAGGATGCTGATAAATTGCAAGATTTGAATGTATTCCTCGCGCCTCATTTTCCACTTTAGAGAGAAGATGATCGATGCAGATTTCCTTCGCAGGCTTGTCAGAGGGTCACTTTCTGGTTCCCGCTAGCGCTCCTTGTGCCTGAGACAGAAAACTGGAAAGAGGATGGAAAGTCAGTAGCGGTTTGGGGAATTAGTGTTGGATAAGGATGGTAGTTGAAGCCGTGAGCTGGAGTAGGGCAAGAAAACACTTATTTCTTTGCTACTGCTTCTGAGCTGAAGTAGAGATGACAGTGCAGTGAAGACTACTGCAAAGCTTCCAGGCCCTTTGCTTCTCATGGCGCCTGGCTGCCGCTCCTGGCTCTTCCACAAGAGCTTCTTTCTTTGTCTCTCGCCCAACTGGGCAACAAAATAGAATCCAACTGTCTCGCTGTCCAATTCAAAGGCCCCACAGTCTGCCTGGAGCTTGCTCTTCCAGACTCTGTCACTTTCCACCTCTGCCTGGACTGTCCTCTCCCTGGTGCGCCTGGGGCTGAATGCCAGTCTCTGCTCTTGTGTGGAGCCCTCTTGGACAAACGTGGCCCTGCTCTTCTCTGACCCCCACTCCGCATCACACCTTAAAGAGAGCATTATTTGGCCCTTACTATGCCTCTACATTTAACATGGCCAGCTGCCTGTTGCTTTTTCCTTTAAAAGGAATAGTAACACATGAGCTCTTTGAGGGCCGAAACCATGTCTTTTCAGCGTTGTGTCTTCCACAGTAACTGACAGGGGCCTTGTTTCCATGCAGTGAACTTTTAAAAAGGTTGTTGAATTATGAGATTGAGAAATTATTTTTTTAAACGTTCATTTTCTCTGTTGGGATTCCTGAGATTCCTGTTCCGTGGCCAGTCATTTCCTGTGATTTTCTCTGATGGCTGTGATTTCATAAGCTTGATTGTGCAGTATGTATTGTGGCATCTGTTTTCTTCAGATATGAGGAGGGCCACACTGCAGGCCTGTTGGTTGCAGCTTGTTTTCTAACTTCCTGTTTGCTGATGTCCTTGTCTTATGTTGTCTGTGCCTAGGACTGACTGACTGAAAGTGCAGGTTTTTGCTACCTGCGGTCTCTGGCCTGGGTCAAGCTAAAGCCTTTGCCTAGGTTGACACACTGCAAGTAAACCCCAGCTGTGATCCACTCTGTCAGCTTAGTGGAAGCTGGCCATGTTAAAGGTAGAGGCATAGTGAGCTTCGCACATGGTGACTGAGTCTTACGTAGAGAGGGATAGGTCAGGACTCACCTTCTGGGCTCTTTCAGTTCCTGAAGAGAGTGTGTGTGTGTGTGTGTATGTGTATTTGTGTAAAGACCAGTGATGTCATCTCAGAATAAGACAGCCCTTGGGACTAAGCAAAGTGCTATGAGAATATTTCTAGTACAAGATATTACTGAAAAGCAAGAGCTTAATTTCACGTATACGTGAAATCCCTGGGAAACACAGTGGTAGATAACCAGTGTGGATAGTCCAGGCTGTCTTCTCTGAATGTGTTTGTATCATGTAATTTATCACCTGGTTATTTACCAAGTGATAGAGAAGGTCATCAGGTGATGGTTAATGCGCATAAACTGAGCAGGGAGCATGGCTGGAGCCATCAGGGAGTTCTCCCTGTAGGAGGTAAGACTCAATGGATGGTGAGGATGAGCTTCTGAACAAGAAGAAAGAAGCAGAGACGTTGTAACTGAGTACCCTGGTGGATCCAGGGAAAGTGGAATCTTCCCCGGACTGGGAGGAGAGGTGGGATGGCTTGCTAGACAGTGAGCAGGAGGAAGACGAGGCCAAGGGATGTGCTGCACGGGGACTCTCAATCTCAATCTACGTTTTGTAGAATGTAGAATTTTAGAATTTGTTTTACATAGAGTTGGTCTGATTCTTTTAAGTGAGTACTACTCTCTTGACACTAAAGTTGTTCACACTATGGCTGTTTCTGAAAAGACAGGCTGCAACGCAGAGCCAGGGTATTTGGGTCAGGCCTGGTGGCACTGCCTGGTGATGAGGACGTCAGTCTGCATTCCCCAGCCAGCCCAACCCCCATGGCATGGCAGTAGAGGCTGGGCTTGCAGAGGGGTGGGTGTCTTCCATTACTGATTTCCTTTTTTTTTTTTTTTTCCCCCATTACTGATTTCCTAAAGGCAGGAGACTGGGAAGGAGGGAGGATATGGGAGTGTTTTTAGGATTCCCATCCCTTCTTCCATTGTTTATCTAGAGCAATGGTTCTTAACCAGGGCGGTTTTGCCCCCCAGGGGACATTCAGCAATGCCTGGAGACAGTTTTGGTTGCCACACCTCTTTGGGGAGAAGTGGGATGGTGATGGCAGTGCTGCTGGCATCTAGAGGGTAGAGCCCAGGGACATAGCTAAGCACCCTGCAATACACAGGGACGACCCCACCACAGAGTGACCTGCGTCCTCTGCCAGTAATGACCAGAGAAGGACCCTGCTCTAGCACAATGATTCACCCTCTACTGTCTCTCCTTGGTTATTTTAGAATTGTTTAAAAAACCTCTGTCTCCATCCTTTTTAGTCAGAAGCTGTGTGTGGTCTGCAGTAACCTTGTATTCTATATAACATGGGGCCTGGGTCTCTGGAGTTCATGCTTTTGGGACTGGGGTCCCAAATCTACCTGTTTAACAAGTGCCCTTTGTGATTCTTGTGCCCTCTGAAGTGTGAGAGCTACTATCCTCAGGCTGTAGCCGTATTTCTCGTCACCAGCCATCTTGTATTATCATCCCCAAGGTTCACTTGCCTAACATCCCAACCTGTTACTACGCAAGTGTCCTTGAAGGCAATGCCGCAGCTTCTGGTAAAGAAAGAACCATTGGTGGCTGAAAGTGTACTGAGTAGGAGGTGAGTCCTTCTTGGTAAAAACGCTGGAATGTCCCTCGTGGAAATGGAGGGCATGGGACCCCTGGAGGAAGGAAGCAAAGGACATTCCTCCTGAAGCCCCCCAGGACAGTGTTGGAGCAGTCTGGTCAGTGTCACTTTGCCTGCTGACCTGATGCAGGGCAGTGGGAAGGACTAGGCTTGTGCCTTCGGGGTGACAGAACATCTGCCTCCTAGATCTAGTCTCTTGTTTATCCATGCAGTAAAGAGAGGGCATCTTAAGTAAGGCTGGCATTCTTGCAGTGAAAGCAGGCATCGGGCTTTTGCTTCTAAGGGAAAGAGGAAAGCAAGTGCAGCCTTTGCACAAATGCTGGTGGTGCCTCCCCTCCCCCCCGCCCCCCCACCCCCTGGAGGCCGGGAATGGGGGGTAGTAGGAGGGGCTGGCTGTGACTGCATTCATGGAAATGAGCCTGGAGGAGCGGAGCAGCACACACTCTGAGCGTCAGCTAGGGCTGCAGCTCTGCGCGTCCATCTCTGCGGTCCACACCAGCCTTCCCCACTGGGCCCAGCGCGTTTGTACCTGCAGGGCCGGTACTCTCAGCTTTTGTTTTCTCTGGACACCTTCTTCTCTGGCCCTGCTGTGCTGGCGCACACATGCTGTCCTTGCTCCAGCTCTCCCTGCACCTACAGCTGTGGGAGCTCCCGGCAGCCTGGGACTGTGGGATCGCTGCACAGAGCCACCATGGCCTCTGACGCGGAGAGCTGTGACCTGCCGAGGCTTTGATGTTGCTGCCCAGGGCTTGCCAGGACACTGGGGCCGCAGGAGAGGGGACTCATCGTGGGTAAGAGGCGGGTGGATGGCGTGTGGAGTCCTGGCTGCAGATCCCCCATTATGCGTTGCTGCCTGCCTGCCTCTCCCACCCAGCAGCCAGCAGCAGGAGCTGATGTGTGTGTGGCCGTCTCTGCATGTCTGTCCTTTGGGTCTGCATTCTGTGCTCTCCCCTGAGGATTTTTCCACTGCACCTTTGGATAGGTATCCAAGCGTTCAGTGTAGTTTCTTCTAGGCCTGAGACTTAGGAACAGGCCAGTAGTCAATTTTCTTCCTCCAGCCTCAGTGAGGTTCGAAATAGGCGGGCAGAAAGCCAGAGGGACAGATTCAGGGTGGTCTCCCCTCTAGGCCCTCCACCCACAGAGTTTCTGTTTTACTCAGTAAGAACCTTTCCTGGGCACGCGTAGCCCTCTTGCCATCAATACACGTAGAAAAGGAGTTGGAATTGTACATGGCATTTAAGGCTAGAGGTCCTTTCCAGCTGTGAGACCGAGGGAGAATATTTCAATGTAGAGAAAAATTGGAGCATTACAAAGGGCTAGCAAACAAATAGATTTTAGCAACCAAGTGTAAAGTGAGAGAGAATTGACTTCCGAGCCACCAAACCTCTATTTTGGACACAGAAGGGGTGTGGTGGCCCAGCTGTGCAAGCTGACATTGGTTGCAGCTGGCAGGCACGGGAGTGGCAGCTCTTTTCCCAGGGGAGAGGAGCCTGCCCCCTTGGGAGGAGGGGTGAGCAAGATGATTTGGCTTGTTTGGAGGAAGAGGGAACTCCCAGGCTGTCCCTGGGGGAGTGAAGGACCATGCCGCTTGTCTCAAGGAGGCTAGTGGTAGAAAATGGTTCTTGCTTGTGGAGCTCTGCATTCAGTCCCTGGGATCCTTCCGAAACAGCAGTGGAGTGCCAGAAAGAAGCTGCTGGGAAACACGAGCTATATCAGATGTTGTCACTGTGAGGTTTTAGAAGAGGTTAAGGTGCTTAAAATGGTTGTTTTCTGGTTTTCAGCTTTTGTTGAAAGTAGACGTTAACTTTATTTTTCTAAACCAAATTCTTAGGATAAAATTTTATCACTTAGGTTCTGTTACTACCTTGAAATGCAAACTGTGTCTTTGAGTTCCAGGGTTTATTAAATTTGTTGATTCTCTTTATGTAAAATAAGGTGGTAGAATACCTTCCTTTTTTTTTTTGAGACAGAGTTTCGGTCTTATTGCCCAGGCAGGAGTGCAGTGGCATGATCTCAGCTCACTGCAGCCTCCACCTCCCGCAGCTTCCCAGGTAGCTGGGATTACAGACATGTGCCACCACACCTGGCTAATTTTGTATTTTTTCAGTAGAGGTGGGGTTTCACCATATTGTTGAGGCTGATCTCGAACTCCTGACTTCAAGTGATCCACCTGCCTCAGCCTCCCAAAGTGCTGGATTACAGGCGTGAGCCACCGTACCTGGCCAATACCTTCCTTTCATAAAATAGTTGAGAAAGGCTGGGTGACATCCTCATTACATAAGTGAGGAAACTGAGGCTGGAACAGGTCATTGTTTGCTCAAGGTCACAAAGTAGTGAGCGAAAGCCCAAGCAGCATCCTCTCTGAACTTGGGTAGTTAGGTGAGCTGTCTCTACGACTGAGGATAGGACTGTCAAGTCTTCCCTAAACATTCAGAATGTGGCAATAAATCTCTTTAATAGACTTATTTTTAGTGGGGAAACTGGGTAGTTTTTGCATGGAAGGAATTTAAATTAGAATAGTCTAAATATTCATATTGGCAGTTTGCTGGAAGGCACCCCTGCCTGTATGTTGAATACCATTT